TGTATTGAGATACCTTTGCCCGGACGCCATAAATCAGCCATGAAATCCCTGAAGAACGGAAATCGAATGACTTTGTCCGTGAGAATCGTCCCAACAACCGGGAATTCCTCCGTCTTCACCGCCCCTATCGCCGCTTCCCCCTCCTCTTCGTCCTCAATCAGCAATTCATCGTCGATTCCTCCAAACCCACCGCCACAGTGCCCACCACAAAGAAAGCTACTCTGTCAGCCGTGACCTCTACCCCCTGAACAATCTCGTCATAAAAACGATCTTATCATCTCTATCCCCTGTAACCATATGTCCTTGGTCTTGCCTGTGATATCCTCCATTCTTCTGCTTCAATACTCTGCGCAAAAAACAGAAACAAAACGAACCAAAACAAAGGCGAGAAGTTGTGCCTTCATTCGAGAGTTATGGAATCAACTCTTCGTCCCAAAGTCGAAATCAAAACACCAAGCCGAGCATAAACTCGGAAATCACACATCAGAAGAAGGTCCGTCGCCCACGACGGCGTTCTAGCGAACCCTAATACCCAGGGAGTCGCCAACTTTTTAGAGAGAGACGGCTGCTGCTAAACTTATTCGTGTTTGATATCCATTTTCAAAAATGCTAGGGGTACATGACTTGTACACACCTTGTACATCATATAAATACCTTTTTCCTTATTACCATCCCCTTTTTACCTTTCTCCCACCCGTGACCTTCTTTCTTTTCTTTTCTCTCTAGCTCTCTGTGCAGCCCACAACCTCACCCCTCTTCTTTCTTTTTCGTCAATTTCAACTAATCTTCAAAATTCCTTCAACCTAGCTACAAATTCAATACTGCCCAACGCTTCTACTCCTCCGCTGAGGAGACATTCACAGCGACAAACCAGGGATGTCTTGAACAGTGGGAGGTCGCAGAGGATAAAAATGGTTGTTCGACCGGATGTTCTGCGGATCTCCAGCTCCCTTCTCTTCCGGTATGGAACAATGTTGATTGAATATGATTATTAACTTTATTGGCAAAGTTATGATTATTAAGATAATAATCTATTCCTTGTTTTTATGTTCATAAAGGGTTGTGAATTTTATCTGAGTTTTAGTAAATTATATATGCTATGTTGAATCCTTGACTATTTCATTTCATTGATATAGGTTTGTGATGTTAACTATTAAAATTATAGATGAAGTATTGCATTCCATTTGTATGCCCATCACATGTTTGATGAAATGATTGAATGAATTTGTATTCCATTTGTATTGCATTCCTTGACTATTTCATTTCATTATGTTGTTTTTACTCCTTTTCAGTTTATGTGCTTTTATGTCTAATAGGAATGTCATCCTTTAAAAATTGAAAACATACATATGAAGATGTTTATACTTGTTGCATCATACAAAGTATATGAAAGGAAAATGCAGTCCCACACACTGTAGCACCAATCACTGCCCGATCCTCCATGCCAAACAATAAACTGAGTTGTATAACCATAAATGGTTGTTAACGAATTAGTTGTTATATTTTTGTCCATGTACTGGTTGATCAATTCACCAAAGTTTTGTCTTCTGATATGCAAGATATCAAGGTAGCACGGGATTTGAGGCAAACTTTTATGCTAAGTGGGATATAGTAGGGATTTCATTGTATGAATGAGTAGCATCTTCCAAAATGTATGTTGGTTTAGATAAGAAAAGATGAACTTTAATGTGAAGCCTTGATAGAATATATTTGACAATTGAGCAGGTATTCTCCAACCAGCACCTAATTGGCATGAACTTTCACTACTTCATTTTTTGTCCATAACCATTATGGAATGTTGAAATATGAATTTTTATTGTGTGCTTTTGCAGGTATGGTTGGCTGATGCTATGACTATGAGTGTTGTACATGGGACTTTTCACAAGGGACTGTGATGTTTTTTTTGAAGTTTGATTTTTTGTAACTTGTTTATTATTTCTGGTATTAACATTGTATTAGTTGAGATTAAAATAACTCCTTTGTAATGTAATCGGAGTGTGCAAGAGTTTGCAAGAGTAAACAAGAGTAGTGTTAATTTGTTTTTTGTTGCACTGTTTGCATTTGAAATGTATAATTATGCACTGTTTGCAAGAGTAAACAAGAGTAATGTTGGTGTTAATTTGTTTTTTTTAATCTGCTTCACCATAGAGATTCAGGTCTGAGAATTAGACAAGAAGTGTGTCACACACAATAGACACTAGAACGAACTAATTTGCTAAGTGGAATTGTCTGTGAGACAGACATAAAATGCCCGGTCACAAGCAATAGTCACCGGAATGAGTTAATTTGTTAAGTGTAGTTGTCTGTGAATTAGACATGAAGTGTCCAGTCACAGACAATAGACACTGGAACGAACTAATTTTCTAATTGGAATTGTCTATGAGACAAACATAAAATGCCCGGTCACAGACAATAGCCACTGGAATGGGTTAATTTGCTAAGTGTAATTGTCTGTGAATTAGACATGAAGTGTCCTGTTACAGACAATAGACAATGGAACAAACTAATTTGCTAGGTGGAATTGTCTGTGAGATAGACATAAAATGCCATGTTACAGGCAATGGCCACGGGAATGGGCTAATTTGCTAAGTGGAATTGTCTGTGAATCGGATGTATACATTTAGCATAATCACATGTATACATTCACTACCTTAGTTTGATTATTGCCTGTGGCCGGACATTTCATGTATGATACACAAACAATTTCACTTAATCTATTAGTCCGTTCTAGTGGCTAGACATTTCATATCTTGTTCACAGACAATTCTACTTACTTAACATACTCCGTATTAACTTATTTGAGTAGTTATTGTTTGTGAGCGGACACTTCGTGTCTAGTTCATTGACAATTTCATTCAACACATTAACTTATTCCCTCTTGGCACATGCACCTACTTTTCATTTCTTTGAGCACTTTGTTGAATGGGGTATGTAATGTTTAAGAGAGTATTGATCAAAATAATATGGAAGAGTAAACAATTTTTAAACATGATTAATTAATATGATATAAAAACCAACCAACAATTAAGGAAATGGGATTGATAAACCAAAATGAGGACATATCCTCCTAAGATACAATAAACCAAAATAGAAGTCTCAACCAATATGCATGATGAATATGTCAACAAATAAATTCAATGTCTGATTACATAAAGTAATCAAATAAAGTTTAAAAATTAAACAAATAAATCCAAAATATCAACAAATAAGGTCAAGGTATTTAATGGTACTGTAACCACCAGTATTATTATTAAAAAAAGAATGACAACATAAAGTTTTCTTCTCTTTCCAACTTGCTCAAGTGTACTTTAACCGCTACAATCTCTCCATAGTCTATTATCCCACTACTTTCAATGTCTACAACATCTGTAACATCCTTAATCTCAGATTCCATCAGCTCTGGTCTAATTCTCCTTAAAATCATCTTGTAATCCATCAATGATAAGTTCTGCTAGTATCTGTGTCAATCAGTCCAAAAATGTAGATAAAAAACGTAATACTAATGACAACATTAAGCAAATGAAGTAAAATTCTAGAAAGCTGAAGGCAAAAGAAAAACTACTTGATGTGCATTTATAAACTGCCAAATTGTTTGAAGGACATAAAACAAATATCATTTATGCACAATTGAGCTTCACATTGTCAAATCTTACGTAAAACAATTTATTCACCATAACATGTAGGAATGTGCATAGGGGCCTATCTCTATCATAATTTCCAATTTTTAATAAGTTCAGGGTGACACAATCATATACATATAACACTCTGCACACTTCAACTATTTTGCTATAAATATAATTTCTTTATGCTCCCTCAAGATTTTTTTAAACATCAAATTTATCTGCAAATTTTCAGCCAAGTTAAAATGACATCATATACAAATATAATCCATTTTTATCCAAGCATAAATGACAGGAAAACACCAATTTTCTTGGTTCTTACACATCATTAGAGAAAATCCATTCAGGACTCTATGGCTTCAAAACTAACCCCTCTTATAACCATTACAGCAGCTGGCACTTGCTATTATTTCCCTTTCCTTATAATATTTATTTCCCTAAATCAAGTTGTTTAGTTTGTTAAAGGAATTGCATTTCTGGGCAGTCACTAACCATCGCCCCAATGAGGGAATGCACTTACGTAAACAACCGTGTATACAACTATAAAACTTTTGTCGCATTGCGATTCAACTACAACCCAAAACTAAAAATACAATGAATAGAGCAAATAGCAATCTATTCCCCTTGAACCGGCAGTCATTGGCCACGATCTCAATGCCTTTGATTTGTACTAAAATGGTCACTACTTTCTTAAACACTAATGTACGTTAACAAAAGCGAGAACAAAATCATGAATTTGAACAAATTGTTCATTGAGTCATTTCAACAAACATCTCATGGTCATAAATAAACTAGAGTAATTACCCTAAAAATTTCAAAATTAACACTTCATATCTCTTACAATAAAACTATTTAATCAATTTTACAAGGTTATAACATACACATATACATAAAATCCGAACAAATAAATACAAAACGCAAAACTCACAAGAAAAATTGGAAATAGATATTACCTCATGGCTTGAGAAAAATGATCAACCATAGAGAAAAGTTAATTGTGCTTTGCAACTGAATGGGAAGAAGGATTTAAAATGGTTTAGAAATTAGAAGTTAGAGAGGTTGAAAATGGAAAAAGAAAGAAAGAAAGGAGACAGAAGAGAACGTAGTGCGCAAAGGAGAGAACGAGAGAAGAGGGAGGGATGGAAATAAGAGAGAGGAGAATGGGAAAAAATAAAAATGGAATGGTAAAAATAAAAATAAATATATATACTGTGTACACTTTGTGTACATTACATGTACACTAAGCATTTCTCATCCATTTTACTCCTACTTACTTATTTAGCACAATTTCCCCTACTTTTTTTGTTTTTTTAAGAAGCTCAATTTCCCCTATTTGAAACATAAACTTGTTTTTTTAAGGAACATAAACTGGTTAGATATCACAAATTTGAATCTCATAATATAGCCGTTAAATCCTATCGTGTCTAATGAATGACTCCATTCATACAAACAAACCGTCATTTCAAAATCAAAACCCTAAGTTTCGTCCCTTGCAGTTCTGCTGGCGAGTTCAGAGTAGAGACGATGGTGATGGATGAGGAATCAAAGAAGAACCCAAATGACTCAAAATCTGTAAACACGAACCCTATGTTTAGCCCAGGCTTCAGATCCGTGGCAGAGATGGCTGGCTGGGACGAAGAGGCGCTTCTGAATGCAGTGGTGCAAGACACTCCCGACCGAATTCTCGAACACCTGAAACGCTCCGGAATCCTTAATTTGACCACTCCGCCTACAAATTCAAGAAGGTATAGTTACACAACACATCTCTGTGTAAGTATTTAGATCGGAGTTCAGCCTTTCATGAATGAGCTTGGCAAACTTTTTGTGTTTCCAGGAAAAGGCTGGCTCAGATGAGGAGTCCAATATCTGCAACTGTTCTTAATCTCGATGAAGCAGAATGCGAGAAAGTGGAGACCGAGTCGGAGTGTGGGCGCGGCAAAAATGAAGTTAATGAGGCAGAGGCCAAGGACTCTAGTGACCACCCTGCCCACCCATCATTATCTTTGCCCGTTAGTAGTTTAACAGAGGCTTCTGCAGCAATCCCTTGCATGGAGAAACTTCGTGAAGAACTTTCATGTGCTGTTAGTGTCACCCCTAGTTTTTCATTTGTTAAACGCACTCCATTTGGATTTTTATAAGAACGACTAAACGGTGTGACTTTGCAGATCTGTTTAGAGATTTGTTATGAACCAAGTACCACTCCTTGTGGACACAGGTATGATCTGAAATTCTAAAATTACTGGTTCGAATTCCAGTTGTTTTACTTGAAGCCGAGTTATTCATTGGTTTTGGTTTTTATTGATCAATTGCATTGAATTGTTTGCAGTTTTTGTAAAAAGTGTTTGCGATCTGCTGCTGAAAAATGTGGGAAGAAATGCCCTAAGTGCAGGCACCAGCTTCTTAGGTAGGACTAGTTTTTTTTAATTAATTAATTACTCTCTCCATGCAACAATTAAGTTCCTACTTTGGATGTGTTTGAGTGTTGACACGATTAGGTGAAAGGGTACTTGATGCAATAAAATACTCCCTCCATCCCCAAAAACAACTTTCCACTTTGACTGACACATTTTAGAGGAAAGTTTAACTCAGTTTAAGTGATAGTTGACTTTCTTATCAAGTAAAAAATAAGTAAAATTTATGGGTAGTTTTAATATTTGATATTGAAAAGTTACTTTTGATGTGGGAAGTTGGGAGTTGTTTTGGGGACGGAGGTAGTAATAAATTAATCCTATGATGTGTGGACGGAGTGGTAGGCTGGTAGTATGCATCAGGGTGGATGGATGACTAATCAATCCTACACATGTGCAAATTTTGATGGCCTTTTTTACTGCAGCAATTCAAGAGGTTGCACTGTGAATACTGTTCTCTGGAATACAATTAAGTTGTTATTTCCACAAGAAGTGGAAGCAAGGAAGGCTGCTGCCCTTGAAGGCATTAGAAGAGTTTCTGGGAAACAAACTCCAGTCATGGACATGATAAATAGTCCGCCGGATCCTGAGCAGCAGCAACTAGGAGGAAGCCTGGAAAGAATAAATTCCCATGGTGCACGAAGAAGGAATGCAAGGCCTTCTGGCGATTTTGTGAGGATTTTAAGGTCAAGAAGGGAGCTGCCAAGCCAGGATGAGGATGCTGCAATGGCATTGAGATTGCAAAGAGAAGAGTTCATGGGGGCTTTCTGCAGGGATTCTCAGGTAGTGCAAGCATCGAATTCAAATGGTTCTGAAGAACGGCACAGGAACTCTATTGCAGTAGTTAGAGCTAATCTGAGAGCAATGGCTTCCAGAGCAGTTAGTATTCGTTCTGCAAGTCGACGATGGACATAAATTGTTCATATTTAGTATTTCGTACAAGAAGCACAAGCCAACATTTTCTTGTATGACAACTCGCTAGTGAGTAATAACAAGGTCAACTTTTGTTTACAGAATGCATACATGTTTCACTGTTCCAGGTTTACAAACCTTTTGTGAATGGAACTTATGTGTTAACAGTCAATCCTCGCATTGATGGTGACTTCATTCTGTATTGGATTGTTTTATTTTAGCGGTCATTATTATCTTGGACCTTCCTATGGTTTTCGGACTTGATGGAACCTTTGCGAACATTTTGTTTAAGAATTTGATTTTGTGAGGATTGTAAGGTCAAGAAGGGAGCTTACAAGCCAGGATGAGGATGCGGAAATGCCATTGAGATTGTCATCATGTTCATTGAGAATATTTTGTTTAAGAATCTGTGTGATTCAAAGGGTTGCAGAATTGTTGACTTCATTATGGTGCTAAGCTCCAGCAGTTTTCAAAGCGGCCATAGCTTATTATTAGGCTCCATCATTGGTTTTTGGCCTTGATTGATCTCGTTTCCATTGCTGTTCTCCCTTCATACATACACACGTGACACGCCATATATATGTAATAACTAATAATAATATACTCTGTGTTACTACTATTCTACTAACAAAGTAAAAAAAATCAGTAGAGAAGTAGCAGGGCATTAGAGGTTCTTCATACGAGCTTATTGTCGAGTTTGAATAGTTCTGACAATCGCCCCTTCGTTTATCTCTTTCCCATTTATCTCTTTCCCATTGGTCATTTTTGATGCAGTATGCGATTGATATCCAATTTAACATTTGAAATACAGCTTTTAGACACATACTACGTATAGGGCTTGTTTGCAATCACTTAATTTAAGTGATTGTGCCTTTTTTTTTTAAGAAAAAAACACTTATTTTATCAAACACTATTAACTTTTACTTTTCTCGGTTTCCGTGTAGAATCTACTTTTTAGTTTTTCTATTACACAAAAAGCACTTATTTTACCAAACACTACCAACTATTACTACTAATCACTTTTTCCCCAAAAAGTGCTTTTATTTAAGCACAATCACTTGCAAACAAAGCCTTAAGAGAGTTTGGTAGTTGCTCATAGATGTACTTTCTTAAGGAGTGTTTGCGATTGTTCTATTTTAAAAGAATGATTTTTTAAAGTGATTTTGGAGAAAGTACTTAGGGGGTGTTTGGAACTGATTCTGCTTCTGCTTCTTTTTTAAAGCAGAAGCAGAATCAGAATCAGTTTTCAGAAGCTGGTCACCCCAGCTTCTAAAAAAACTGATTCTAGGAGTAAAAAAAAAGCACCAAAATCACTTTTGTACTTTCACTCAAACACTCCAACTTCTGTTTCTGCTCCCTCAGGGAGCAGAAACTGTTTTTAGAATAAGATCCAAACACCCCCTTAATAGTAAAAGTTGGTAGTGTTTGAGAAAAAAGTGGTTCTGAAAAAGTAAAAGTTAGGAGTGTTTGGTAAAATATGTGTTTTTTGTGTAATAGAAAAAGTGAAAAGCAGTTTAAAGCACCATTACACCCGCTTCCATCTTTTAGCTTTTAAGTGATTAATTTAAATAGAAGCTGTCATTTGAAAACACTATTTTCACCTTTTTTAAACCAAAAGCTGAAAAGTACTTTTTTTAAGTAACTGCAAACACTCTTTAGGCTCTGTTCGCAAACCCAACTGGGAAGTGCTTTTAACTTTTTAAAATGATTTGGTAAAAAAGTGATTAATAGTAAAAGTTGGTAATGTTTGAGAAAAAAGTGATTTTGAAAAGTAAAAGTTGGTGGTGTTTGGTAAAATAAGTGTTTTTTGTGTAATAGAAAAAGTAAAAAACAAATTCTAGGTTTTAGCTTTTAAATATTTCGTTTAAATAGAAGTTGTCATTTGAAAACATCTTTTTTTGTTTTTTAAGCCAAAAGCTAGGAAGTGTTTTTTTAGCTGTGTTTGAAAACAGAGCCTTAGACACCCATTTTTTTCTTGAAGATTTATAATATTTCAATATTTGCAACCTGCAGAGTATGAAAGTTCAACTCTTAACATATAACAGTATGTTCAACTCTTGATATAACAGAGCTCAACTCTTTATACTGATTTCTTAATATAATTCATTTCATGTTCAACGGACTCACCTTTTGACATTCCTGATTACAGCCATTGTTTTTACATCCATCCCCAAAAATTTTTGCCATATTTCACCCGTCGAGAACTTGATTTTGTACTCAATTAATTATTCCAATGTTTAGCTATAGAATATATATGTGAGCTTCATTATATTTGTTGCAAACATTACCAGTGATAGATTAGTACGGAGTATTATCTAATCGTTTATTTGTAATCATCTCTTATACTTTTACTAGTATTCCTTGTAAATTGGAGAGCTAAACATGCTCCCTAAATTAATATAAATACGCTGGCTATAGCTTTCAAAAGGCTAAGCCTTATTTGCCAAATTAAATATTCTTCAACCAGCATATTCACTCAATCACTCCTAAAGTTATGAAATCCAGATTTCTCACTTTTGCAATCCTCAAAACTAGGATATATACTTTTTTTTTTTGAAAGGTGGATATATACTTCCCTCTATGACTTTATCCACTTCTATATATCAATACGTGATACTTGGTGAATGTATAAGGGAGAGTTGACGGAAACATTGTTATAAAGTCGGGCAAAAGTTTTGTTGTGATGATTGGTTTGCATAATCTGAACGTGGTTATCAAATTATCTTTTAGCATGTATTTAGGATCACCGAGAAATAAGATTTGAAATTCCTAAATTACCAATCAATATAATAATCAATCACCCCCCCAAAAAATCAATCAATATAATAATGAAGAACACGAACATTAGTTTTGTACGAAAGTATTTTTTGGGGGGCATGGCATACTGTTTAAGTAGAAATTATTCTAACTACTTATCAATCAGATATTTTATGATGGGAATCGCACAAGAATGATCGAGCTAAGGAAATAGATAATAGATTTAGATATATGGTAGAAAGGATTTAATAATAAAGCTTGTAAATAATTATATTTGTGAATATGTATAAAAGAACGAATGAATATACAAGTGCGGAGCTAATCTATTGAATATACAAAGTATGTGCTCGAGTACCATAGCCAGAACATGCCCTAATCCCCCCTCTAAGATGTCTCTCTTTATACTATTCTTTATGCTACTTTCTGGCTAAACTATATGGTAAGTATCTTTAGTAAGGAAATAAAATAATTCCTACAGCTATCAAATCTCCCTATTTCGGCCAGCATATGTGGTGTGATACTTTCCATTTATGTGTGCGTCTAGAAGCATGCACTCCGCTGCTTACCCATTTCGCTGGTGCTTCGTCGTATGGCTTTAGTAAGGAAATAAAATAATTCCTACAGCTATCAAATCTCCCTATTTCGGCCAGCATATGTGGTGTGATACTTTCCATTTATGTGTGCGTCTAGAAGCATGCACTCCGCTGCTTACCCATTTCGCCGGTGCTTCGTCGTATGGGTTTAGGGTCAAAATCCGTGCATGTACTATTCTGATGATTTCGGGCCGCTTTAGTAGTGAAATAATCCGGGCCCAACAATTGCCCCCTTTCGAGAAGTTGAGGCGTACAAGCGCACATGTCAACCGTTAAACATCAACTTTTCGAAACCTTGAAAACACATATTTGTCATCTTGGATTATTGTTCTTATAGACTCGTCATCAGTTTGATACGACACGTCGTCAACCCGTCACTCGTATGACGGGACGCTTCCGTCAATTCGTCATTTATCTGAGGAGACGCTTCTATCAACCTGTCATTCATCTGGCGAGACGCTTTCGTCAACCTGTCACTTGTCTGGCGAGATGCTTTCGTCAATTTGTTTGAGGAGACGCTTCCGTTATTCATCTGGCGAGACGCTTTCGTCAACCTATCACTTGTCTGGCGAGATGCTTTCGTCAATTCGTCATTTGTCTGAGGAGACGCTTCTATTAACCTGTCACATGTCTGGCGAGACGCTTTTGTCAACCTGTCAATCTGTTGTGGAAGATGACGAATTGGTTGATAGCCTGCAAAAACTTTAAATATCATTACATTTGTCGTTTGTATTATCTCCTTATGTTGGAGCATGTACTTCTATTTTGTAGTTCTGTATTTTTTGTAGTACATGTGTTGTCATATATGTTTTGGTCACACGTGCGTTGTCATATATGTTTTGGTTGCACGTGCATTGTCATATACGTGTGTAGGTTTTGGCCAAAACGCATTGTATGGGCTCTGTTAGGACTGTGATCCATGATATTCTCATGGGCAGCCTAACCCTTCCCATTTTGATGTTTAACTAGGGTGTTTGGCTGATTCGAGCCTGAATGTCGTCTTGTAACCTTTGTAGGTCGCTTTAGTAGTTGTCTGAACTTACACTTCAAGGTTGTCCTGCATTCGTCACAAACCGTCAAAGTTGGCCCTTGGCTTTGGGCCAACGGCCCTCCGATGATTAAGTCAGTGATCGTTTATAGATAAATGAAAATAGTAGATTACGAATATGTATACCGACCTTGATAAGCTATCATCATAACATGTCTACCGTAAGACGATATGCCCCCCGGTCTGACGATTTCAATCAACTCGTCACCGAAGTGAATCATCACGAAAGTGGCTCGTCATGAAAGTGATTCGTCACGGAACTGACTCGTCACGGAACTGACTCGTCACGGAACTAACTCGTCACGGAAGTGACTCATCGCAGAAGTGACTCGTCACGAAAGTGATTCGTCCCGGGATTGAAGACAATATGGAAAAGAAAGTAACAAACTAAAAGTGAAATAACTTTAAGGGTACCGCACTGCAGCTCCTCAGAGCCTTTTTACCATCGGACGACATGCCCCCTGCCTGAGATTTTCAACCATCTTGTCCAGTCCATCTCGTCATGGTGTGACGACTCGATCCTCAGGTCTCGAGTAAGGTTTTCCAGACTTGTAATCATGCGTCATAGGGGATTCTGATTTCCCCTGCCCCCTGTCATACTCAAATCGTCCGTGGCGGGGTCGTAAGTCTTCTTCTAGACGGATGAAAGCCAATGCCTTTGCCTGGACATCTTCGAAGGATCGACAGGGGTATTTCGTCAGCTCCTCGTACAACTCTGAATCTCCATACAATCCTTTTCTGAATGCATCAATGACGGTTGAGACATCACACTTTGGGATCGACACCTTCCTTACGTTGAATCTGTGCAAATAATCTCTAAGTGATTCACCCTGCCTTTGCGTGACTTGATACAAGTAATTGGTCCGTCTTTCCAATACCTTACTACTCGCGAATTGTCGATTGAAAAGATTGACGAGTTCGGAGAACGAACCGACGCTTCCATTCAGAAGATTGACAAACCACATCAAAGCGGGACCGGTCAATGTCATGCCGAATCCCCGACAATACATGCCTCCCTCTGTTCAAGTTTAACGGAGACGGTCGACATCATTTGCTTGTATCACGTGATATGTTCTCCAGGATCTGTCGTTTCGTCGAATGGCTCCATGGTTAGTACGTCAAATATATGCGGCAGTTCGAAACGGATGATCGAACCGTCAAAAGGTGAATCTTCATAACACGTTCATGATGCTCTGTCCAAGGGCGGGGGTACCCCTGGCAATCCGTTGATCTTGTCTTGCATTTGACGCAATTGTTCTGTCATCATAAACACCTGATCTGCCAAGTCTGGATGAATTGGTGCCGGAATCGAGACCATTGG